TCATTTTGTGGTTTACCTATTCTCTTTCTCAAAATTGCAGAAGTGCCTGCAGGCTCAGTAATGTTGGGGACCCTTCATTTAATGGCATCTGGGCCATGCTGGATATGGGTAACACTACTGGAACTGGGGACAGAGCTGTGATTGTATGTTTGCTTTTTTTTAAACTGCAGGAGGTGCTACAAGCCCTTTTGACCCAGTTACTATTGCCAGCCAACTGCAACACATAGGAGATCAATATAACAGGGACCTGAATCAGCACATTGATACGCTCGCTGCAGAGATGCTGGAAGGAAAGGTACTAGGCTATTTAGCCAAAGAGTTTACAGTCTGTCAGAGTAAAGTTTTATAAGCTAAGGAAAACAATCACCTAAGCATGTCTTCCCATAACAACTCTGAAACAAGGACAATTCAACTCAAGTAAAAAGGTAAAGGTTTCCTTGCTCGAAAGCCAGTCGAATCCGACTCTAGGGTTGCGGTGCTCATCTCTGTTTCAAAACCAAAGAGCCCGCGCTGTCCGAAGACATTTCCGTGGTCATGTGGCCGGCATGACTAAACACCAAGGCGCACGGAACGCTGTTACCTTCCCTAGGGAAACCCTGTTAGCAGCCATTCTCTCCACCACTACTGGTGGATGGGGGGTTCAGGGTGTTGTTGTTGTTTTTTTAAGAGCAGCAATTGAATATTGTTTTCTGCATTCCCAGCTTTTTAAAAGTAAGTCTTTTGCCCCTTTTGTTGCAGAGATGAAAGGAACTAGACTTTTACTTCTTTAAAATGAAAGCTGGGAATTTAAACAGCCTGATTGACATAGCCCTCTAACATAAGAATTGCTGATTTTTTTTAAAAAAAAAATCCTTTGGTGGAGGAGAGGGAGAGATGGAGGAGGAATTGGATTTATACCCCGTCCTTCACTCGGAGTCTCAGAGGAGCTTACAAACTCCTTTCCCTTCCCCTCCGCACAGCAGACACCCTGTGAGGTAGGTGGGGCTGAAAGAGCTCTTGACAGAAACTGCTCTTTTTCAAGGACAGCTCTTGTCAGAACTATGGCTTGCCCAAGGTCATCCAGCAGCTGCAAGTGGAGGAGTGGGGAATCAAACCCGGTTCTCCCAGATTAGAGTCCGCATATATAACCACTACACCAAACTGGCTCTCAACACCAAACTGGCCTCTGCAGCGAATTGTGGTAGGGAAAATGGAACAGATGCATTTGGAACCTGGAAGATCCAAACTTTCCTGTCTGCATGGGGGCCTACCTGACTTTTTTCCAAAACATCACAGCAAATCACATTTAGGTATAATTTAGGTATAATTGCAGGAAAGGAGATGCATAGGAAAAAGTGAAAGAAGATCCACTTCCCAGTAGTGTCCAAGCCAGGGGCAAACAACCTATGTGTAAATGAATAAACTGAAGTATGTAACCAGGGAAAGCCTGTGGTTCATCTGAAGTACAGTTAAAAAAATTAAAAAATTTGGGTTGCCAGACTGGAAATTGTATCACCAGGCGTCAGCTCTGAGTTGGATTAAGGACTGGATCGCTTTTAAAAATATTAGAAATCTGAAATTAGAAGGCCATGATCTAAGAATCGGATGGCATGCCTACCTGTGGTATGGCAAAGATAGAGTACATTATAACTTTAGACATGATATTTTAAGAGGAGCACTGATGTGGGTTTGGAATGGAATCAGAGAAAGACACTATGCAAAGACACCAAGATGGGTGTCTCCATTGGAGGCCTTTGTTAAACCATCACTCATCAAGGCTTGTGATAGAGAATGTTATGATACTCTATTAGAGAAGAACAATAAATTAAAATCAAAAGAGAGGTTGCTAGCCCAACATGAGATCGATTTATCCTGGTGGGAAATAACTCAACTTAAGTCTAGATACTCTATGGATATGAGAGTAGGGTTCGAAGACGGTAAATCTCAGCTAGATAAAATTTGGGTGTCAAGCAGTGACAAGATGATCCAGAAACTTTATAAAGTTTTACTAAACGAACGGTCTCAAGTAGACGCTCCCAATAAGGTAATGGAAGCCTGGGCAAAAGACATAGGACATAACATAGCGATAGAGAACTGGACAAAAACTTGGACGTCAATAAAATATACAAGAAGCACAAATTATAAGGAAAACATATATAAAGTCTTTCACAGGTGGTACTGGTCTCCAGATAGATTAGCTAAATGTAATTCGTCTCTCTCTAAAAATTGCTGGAAATGTAACAATAACGTAGGTACTTTCTTCCATGTGTGGTGGCGATGTATAAAAATACAGGATTACTGGAGAATGATACAAAGGATAATTGTAGGAATAACTAATGTGAAAATTGACTTGACTCCAGAATTTTTTTTGCTAAATATGTTTCTGGAAATTTATAAGTTAAAAGACAAATATATGATAATATATATACTCACTACTGCAAGAATGTTGTTAGCCAGGTTTTGGAAACAAGAATACATTCCAAAGAAAGAAGAGATCATATGTAAATTGTTTGACTTGGCAGAGATGGATAAGCTAAGCCTTATCCTTCAGGAGAAGGATGAAAAAGTGTTTGTAGAAAGATGGAGGCGTCTATATGACTGGATTGGTACAAATAGTTAATAAGAGGCTCCGAGATAGCAAGGAAGACGTATGGATTGTGGAATATTGTATTTTGTGGAAAATGTAAATAAAGATATTTAAAAAAAATTTAAATGATATTTCCGGGAATACTAAACTGGTATATCTATAAAAGCTGTTGATCGTGGCAAACAATAGGGAGTTATTTCAGTTCAGGGAATGAAACAGGGTTGTAGATTCCTCATGGAAGTCTGATAACTGAGAGCCAATGTCCTGTAGTGATTAGAGTCAAACTAGGGTATAAGAGACCCAGGTTCAAATGCCACCTCTGCCATGGAAGCTCATTGGGTTAACTTGGCCGAGTCACTGTCTCTCTCAGCATAACCTACCTCACAAAGCTGTTGTGAGGATAAAATGGAGGAAAGGAGAATGATGCAAGCCACTTTGAGTCCCCACTGGGGTAAAAGGAAGGGTATAAATGAAATAAACTTGGGACCATGGCCAACTGAGTAAATCCCTATTCCCCTGGTAAAACAGAGATGCCTGCAGAGGCCATTTTTACCACAGAGGAAGCAACCTGTTGCCCCAAAGCATGCATCAAGATTGCTGTGGAGTGACAAGTCAAGTAATGTCTCTTCTGCCGGCACAACATGGACTCCACTTCCGTTTCTTCCAGTAGGGACCAACCGCATGGTCCCTTCAAGACTTCCCATTACCTAGGAGGCTTGTTGAGACAGCAGGCATTTTGCAGTATGAGGTACACAAATAGCTGTTGATGGACACAGAGAGATAAGAAGAGAAGGTGTGTATGGGGGAAGGGGGAGGCAGCAGAGCTTCAGTGCCAAACAGTGGATAGGGTTGAATATGTTAACTGTTGGCCTTTGTTTATATTGTTGTTACAATGTTCCCCTCTAGGGGAATACTTCCTCTGGGTTGGTCTGAGTTTTGTTTTGTATTTTGTTTTGTTTTTTAATCTAAGGGAAAGTCACACTGTACTTCTTCAGATGTACTCTGTCCATGGTGCCAGAATTGATTTATTTATATTTAGTTATTTCGTCACATTTATAGCCAGACTTTCCCAGAAGCGGGCTCAGGGCAGGTAACAACACTTTATTTATACAAAATATTAGTTAATACAATAAAATTTAAATTTAAAACATCATAACTGTCAAAATGGTGGTCACAGCTGATAACAATTTTCTGGTTGTGGGAGGTTCCTGGCCATAGCCAGTAGTTGTTAACAGATTGACAAACACATCAGGGAGGCCATGGCAGAACAGCTCCGTCTTGCAGGCCCTACGGAATTGAAGTAGATCCCGCATGACTTTGACACTGATTAGAAGGGGAATTTGATGAAAATAGGTTTATTGTCATTTATTGCAGAGGATTGGAAAAGGTTAGTTATGAATATTCGGACTGGTTATAAGGGAAGTTTAAAAGCTCCAAATAAAATAATAGTAAAAATCAAAGCCTCTAATAGAGAGGAAAAATTAAAAAACAAAAAGTTAAAAGGGAGGGGGAAAAAAGAAAAAAGAAAAGAAAAGAAAAATAAGTAGGAATCAAATCCCTATATTGAATACACTGAATTGACAAGATTGGGAAGCTGGGACAAAAGCTGGGGTGTTGCCGTTAGTAGGCACACCGCTGCATTTTGCACCAGCTGTAATTTCTGGGTCAGCCTCAAGGGTAAGCCTGCATAGAGCGAATTACAGTAGTCAAGCCTGGAAGTGACCATTGCATGGGTCACTGTAGCAAAGTCTTGGGGGGAGAGATAGGGTTTCAGAGACCTAATCTGCCATAGATGGAAATAGGCTACAGTAACCTATTCTTTTTAAAACATGATAGTAATGGGAACTTGGGAGACTGGACCTGTTGTCTTTTTCTTTCTTTTCTTTTTTTTCCTGGTAGTTCACTTCAGCTTCACTCCTGGAATATCACAGTCAAAAGAGAGTTCAAGGCTGGACTGGGGATTGGGTCTCACTCAGAGCCACTGTAGTCAGTTTCAAGGCTGGATCAGCTAAAGACAATGGTCTAGAGAGCACATCCATGGGAGCAGCACAGAGCTGGAAGCTGAACATTCACAAAAAGTTCACTGTCTTAGAGATGCTATAACAAGCTGTGTACTTTAGATTATCCCCAGTCCTCTAATGCACTTTAAGTAGCAGATTGATGACCAGGACTCAGCAAAGCCACTCAAAGCAGCAGTGGGGGGGGGAAGCAGCAGTGAGGCTGGAGACCGGCAATAGTTTGAAGATCTTGCATCCCCACCCCCACCCCATTGAAGGCAGTTTAAAGCAAGGGTTGCAACTTTTGGTGTGAATATTCTCCCCATTATTTATTGCTTCATAAACCAGTAAGCTGTGTTTGACAAAAGGGATGTACACGTATACACTGTGAGAGCAGCAGTGGTCTCAAACCACTTTTGGGAAGCCAAACCTCAAATCTGCATTTGTCTTTCCCACCAGTGTCCCAGCCTTCTGACTCCGTCTTCAGAAAAGCTGTCTACATTTGGTTTCGGTTTCGCACCCCAACAATGCCAGCATGCTCTTGCATGTCCACATATGTTTATCGCCCTCTCGTGGCAGCTCCACTTTCATTGCACCTCTGCACCGTTTTAAATTAATCTTCTCCAAACAACGTTCAAACAAGCATAGAGAAAGATGGCATCACAGCAGCACAAAACTGATTTAAAAATGCAAATGCAGATTCGACTTAGACTTGCTTGAAAACTAGTTCTTCCACAGTCTGAGTATACAAGTCTAGGCACAGCAGTTGCCCTGCTGCCCTCTGGTGATCAGATGCACAAGTTTAATTTGAAGTAGGATAAGTGCTGGACTATGCTGTAGTAGTTTAGATACTTTCGCTATGGAAAATTACAGTGGTAGTCAAAACGTTTTTAAAAAATTTTATTTACATCATTTATAGTCTGCCTTTTTCACTGAGACTCAAGGTGGATTACAGTTTTTAAATGCAAAAACGACTGGATTACAGAATTAGATAGCATTAAATTTCCTTAATAAAATGTTAAACTATGCTAATTTCTGAAACATCATAAGTGCTGTATCCCAAGTCTCCTCATCTGAGAGATGAGGGATTATTAATATCCCTCCCATGTACTGTTACTATTTCCCATTTTTTGGGGTCCTAGACCTTTGTGTACAAAGTGCTATGTGGGCAGTCCCAGGCTTTGGACCAAACACCTCTTGTAGATTCTGCCACCACTTGGAGCTTTTAAGTATAGAAGATGTTCTGTACTTCCTCAAACCCATCCCTTCCTCGAACGCAATGACTTGGCAACAGTGATCCACGCAATGGTCACCTCAAGGTTAGACTACTGTAATGCTCTCTACGTGGGGCTGTCCTTGCCTCAAACCCGGAAGCTGCAGCTAGTACAAAATGCTGCGGTCAGACTGTTGATGGGTCTTTACATATGGGAACACATGCAGCCTGTGCTGAAAGCACTGCACTGGCTGCCAATACCATACCGGATTCGCTTCAAGGTGCTGGTTTTGACCTTTAAAGCCCTCTATGGTCAGGGTCCAGCATACCTAAGGGACCGCCTTTCCCCATATGTTTCCCAGAGAGCACTGCGTTCAGGGGCCCAAAACCGGCTGGCCCTCCCAGGTCCCAAAGACGCCAGGTTGGTGACAGCCAGGGCCTTCTCAGTAGCAGCTCCGCACTGGTGGAATGAGCTCCTGGAAGAGATCAGGGCCCTGCAGGACCTTTTACAGTTCCGCAGGGCCTGCAAGACGGAGCTCTTCCACCAGGCTTTCAATTAGGAGTCGCGTGTGACATCTGAGAAGAGACCCTGTGCCCTGGCTTTACCATCCCTAGCCCGCCTCGCTAGGTAAATAAGTAGATTAACAGAGCAACAGAACATCATTATGACTGTCACCCATGGAGAATGAGTCAATCTGAAAT